CATTCCTTGCCTTCTAGAAACCTTTTAGAATTTTTCTCCCACAAATTCAAGGCAATGACTGGAGATTCACTTTGTTTTGTTGTGCATTCTGTTTTGTTGTAGCTAATATTCAGATCTTACAGTCCTAGCTTCGGCATGCTAAAGGGTGAGATACCTGCCCTCCCACCCATCGCAGTATAATTTTCATTTAATAAAAAGTGAAAAGTGTTCATTGAATTTTTGTTTCTCAACAGCAAAATAATATTTTAAATTTTACACTAACAGCAGTGTATATGTGTATAGCCTTTAAAAAGAATGAAGTAAACTAGAGCCGCATGTACAAGTTTTGAGATGTTAGCAATACATTTTGAAAAAGCAACTGCAAAATATGTATAATGTAAAAACATTATACTTTGTTAAAAAAACAGAAAAACATTCCACTTATGTACATATACTCACACACTTGCATAAAACTAGGAACATACATGTAAGTTTAGGTGGTTGTTAAAAAGGGAAGAATTGGGACATTTACTTGTATAATTTTTCAGCATTTCAAACCAAAGTTCACGTAATCTCATATTAAGACATACAAACAAAAGCAACTCATATAGCACAAGGAATATTTAATTAAAAAAAGTAAAAGCCTCCTCTTCTCCCCCAAAATGCTCTAAAAAGTCCTCCTACCAAACTATAGCCATTGTTAGCCTATTGAGTTTGGAATTTTTGATGTATAAAAAAATTTTAATACCCCAATAGAAGTTGATTTCTACTTTTGTGCTTTGAAAAGAACATCTCAAATATCTATGTAGTGTAAAATAATATTTTCCCACACTGTCTAGGTTATTCATGCACTGGTAAAGAAATAGGGGAAAATAATGAAGACAAAAAATCAGGAAACTGAATATTAAGTCTGATCACACAGAATTTTGATGATGAAACAATACAGCTATTGTTTCACCTATTAAAAATATTTTGAAATAATAGTTTCATTCAAAAAAATCAATTTTCCTGATTGTAAAATATGTTCATAAGAATTCAAAATGTTACAGATACAGATTAAAAGAACACCCTCCATAATTCTACCTCTAAGAGACATCCATTGTTAATAGTTTATAATCTTCTACACTGCTTTGCTGAATGCTTATACTAACATGTCTTGTGTTAGTATATGCTCCTAATAAATTTTTATACAAAATTTTGTTATTAAAATAACTTAAAAGTATATTAAAATATTAAAACAATGGCTTGGTTATTTCTTAGAAACTATCAAAAAATAAATGAGTTTGTTAATTTTAAAGCAAAGATGCTTCTCTATATAGCAACTGCCCAGCCAGGTAATTTATCCCTTTGATTGTTACAGCCCCATTAACCTAGTCTGTATGTACCATCCCCAGGTCAATCAGTAATGGGAGAACATTGGGTTCTGGGGTCAGAGTGGCCTAAAACTGAATCCGTTTTGTTGCTTACTAGTTCTTGGTCAAGATACTTAATTTTGCTTTAGGTTTCTTATGGGAAAAAGTTGAGCAGTAATACCAAACTCACAGAATTAATGAGGCATGTATGAGAAAGCAAGCGCTCCAGTATCAACCTAGGCAACATATTTTAGTTGACTGCATGGTTTAATCTGATATTAAATGAGAATCCCTGGCTGCAGATCTGTTCCCATGCGTGAAACTATTCACTTTCACATCATTAAGCCTGGAATAGAATTCCAATCCCCACATCTATACTTAATTGAACAACACAAACATATCTGAGGCCTTTCAAGTGTGCACACAATAATTTTACTTCTAGAAATTTATTTGAAGAAATTAAAGATCAAAAACTTGGTTATATATATGTAGTTATTGTCACACGGTTTATAAAAAGAAAATATAAACTAAACATAGGAAAAAACCACACCAGTTTTATATTTGGGTAAAAGAGTTATAATTTTTAATTTAATCTTTTCTACAATGAGCCTGTACTATTTGTCTAATAGTTTTTTAAGTAAGAAAATGTTCAGAAAAAGTTATGCTATTTTTTCTTTTCATTTTATGCATGTTAATTTCTTTCTCCATATAAATTACCAAGGCATAGTAGTTTATGCCATGAGACGAGAAGAGAGACTAGCACTCCAACTTTACAGAGGTGATATTTGAAGAATTAATAGGTTAAATTACCTAGTGTTGGTCCCTTAGCTGTAGGCCAAAATTAAGCAATTTCTTGTTTCAGTAAACCATCCCTGGTTATACAAACTATCCTCCCATATATACATGATCAAGTACATTAATGAATCAAATGTGAAAATGTATGGATGCAGAAACCAACTAAGCAAAAATCTCTTCCCAAAGAATCCTCTCATAATGTATTTGCATCTTAGAAATACCTGTGTCATATTACCTTGATGTAAGCAACTGGGATATAGAAAACATTTTTTTTTTAAAGCTAGTTTGCAGTGTGGTGTATTAGAAAAGTTACATGTCCCAATAGTTATAATGCTTTTTGCAAGATAGCTATTCAATAAATAAGTATCCAGGGATCAGGAAGGGATATATTTTCACTCAGTAACTTAAGCTCCACAAAAATAAATATAGTGCAAGAACACTGAACTACAGTTAAGTATTAATTCAGTAACAATAAAGATACATTTCTGAAGTAAGTCATACTACATAGCCAGGGAAAGAAGGGCAGAGTTGCTGATGCAAGCTCATTAAGAATATGATCCACCCTGGCTGGTGTGGTTCAGTGGACTGAGTGCCAACCTGAGACCCAAAGGGTTGCAGGTTTGATTCCCAGTCAGGGCACATGCCTGGGTTGTCGGCCAGGTCTCCAGTTGGGGGCGTGCGAGAGGCAACCACACACTGGTGTTTCTCTACCTCTCTGTCTCTCTCCCATCTCCTCTCTCTAAAAATAAATAAATAAAATCTTTAAAAAACATTTAATCATTTATAATGATTTATTAAAAAAAGAATACCATCCTTCCACCTTGGAAATTTCATTTGTTATGCTCACTAAATCTAGATATTAGTAGTGGCTCTCTTACACACAAACCAGAAATATATTAAACCTCAGACACATAGAATTAGCCAGTGTGCCTAAGAACAGTAACGAAGAGACCTCTAGAAAACTCAAATGAGCAGCCTAACTTTTAAAGAACTCTCTTTGTAAGTCTAGCCAGGATCTTGAAAGAGTTAGGGACTCACTACTAAGATTTCTGAGCCCGGAAAGGCAGTATGTCTTACAGTTCTGGTTTCTGACCTTTTAGGATAAAGTTTTAAGGATTAGGGGAATCTTACCTCTCATTTTTTTCTCCATAGGTTAAGTCCCTGAAGCCAAAGGCTGTCCCCAATTACCCTCTACTCTGCTGAAAAAAGGGAGAGTAATATTCCTGGCTCATGTCCCCATGTGTGAGCAGGGTTCACAGGCACCGTCAGAGTGCGGACACACAGCAACACTGTTCCCAGGGTCAATGACAACTCAGGCTCCACTTTTACATTTTGCACTCTTCAATTTGAGAAAAGTGTTAAGCACTGTTTTAAATAAATGAGATTCATTCCATAAAAAAATCTTGTAGAGATGAGGTCATAGTTTACAATTACTGTTTCAGCCTCACATCACACATAAAAACCAGAAAAAGATGTAAAAAAGAGGAGTTCTAACCAGTACCATGTAGATTAGCTGACCCACGTTTATATTTCAGTATATACAGATCCAAAACTTCAATAGAAATACAATGCACATCTCTGGAAAAAGTGATATAAAACCTTCTAGAATATTCTTCAAAGAAACCAAAGCAGACTGCTTCAAGTAAACTACTCTTCCACATCTTGACACATTTAAAAATTATTCATAAAACTATAGTAATTTAATCACTTAAAAGGCTTAGTCTATAGCTTAACACTGATGTTGGTTAAGATTAGTCTTATATTTAAAGCATTGTATTTTGCACCATTCCAACGGGTCAAATTAATATTTAGTTACCTTTCCACAGAAGTTAAGAAGTGGAAACCTGGTTTCCTCATAAATTTACAGGTAACAGGAGTCGACAGTAAGTCAATTTTTCATCTCCCTGCCTTAATTATATTCTTTGCCAACAACTTCTCAGACCAGAGACACAATGGAACATGTGGGAACAGGTTTCAAGACACAATGCCTCTCCTGTTAAGTCTTTCACCAATGTTCCCAACAGATTCACTCCACAATCATGTTGACACAGGACAGCCGCTCCCGACTCCCCTGACAACCCATTCTGCGCAAAGACGCTTCGGCCAGGCTCCAGCCCCACCACTCCCGACTGAAGGACGTCTGCTCCCCACACCGTAGACCCGGGACTTGCGTCCCCGATTCTCTCCCCTAATAACGCACCATCAACGCACGCCCCTGTAAGCCGGTCCCACTACCTGGAATTCTCAAGGACACTGGGGTAAAACCCGGCACAGCTCAACCGCTCAGCCAAAATAATAATAATAAAACGTACTTTATAAAAAGAAGAAGAAAAAAGAAAGAAAGGAAGCTTTCTGGGCCTATAACTCATCTTCTGATGTATGCAGTCTAACCTTTCATTTCTGACTTTTCTCCGAAAAAGCTGTCACGCGGAGACGGGCAAAGGAGGAAGGGTGGAATGAATGCAGGATTCTTCACTCCGTCGGAGGGGGATGAGCGCCCGGAGCCGAGAATTTCCCCGCAAGCCCCGCTAGAAGTAGCCGGAGATCTTTCTCCAATGTTGGGGAAGTGGAAGAGGTCCCATCTCAGCCCCTTGATGGAAACTGTAGCAGGGCCCATGGGAGACCAGGTGGGCGGTGCGGGGACAGAAAGGAGGGCCAGGCAAACTGTTAGAGTTAGGTCCCCGATCCTTGAAGGAAAAGCAGCCTCGCGGAGCCGGCAGTCCGATGCCCCCACCTGGGCCCGCCGACCCCCGGGCTCTCGAGATGGCAGCGGGTGGGCTGCACCTGTCATCCCAGGGATCCGCGCGCATCTCCGGGTGCCACCCGGCGGGACTTAACCTTAGGGCCAGGGTTAGGAACAGACATGGCACTTACGGGGTACACCTGTCGCTGTACTCATTGGCGATGGTCTCGATGCCGCCACTCCTCGCTACAGCGATGTAGCAGTTGAGAAAGCCGAGATCAATGCCAACCACAGACATCCCGCCGCCGGATGATCGGGGTGCTGGTGCTGAAGCCTCCTGCGGGGGGACCGCGTCCTCTTCGGGGCTGTTGCTCCAGGAAATGCGACTCCTATGAGAAGCAAAGAAGAGAAGACCCGAAGTCGCTACGCTTTGAATCTAGGGCAGAGCCTCGAGCAACCGCGGAGAGGTAGAAGCCACCGCGCCGCAGCCTCAGTCGCCGGAATCTCTCCTCTGCGGTTCGGCCGCCTCCAACCGGCAGTTACTGCGCTCTGCGCCTGCGCACTTGGCCGCTGGGGAGGTGCGCGAGCCGCTCCTCCGCGCCCGAGGCTGCGCCGGGCCTCGGCTTCGGCCGCTTCCGTCAGCTCTCGGGCAACGGCTGCCCCAGGAGCTGCGGGTTCGAGAAAGATCTGGAAAACGGAGGCGGAGGCGGCTGAGCCAGCAGCGGGGTGGGAGAGCGGGGAAGGCGGAGCAGGGAGGATCAGGGAGGGGGGAAAATCGGGCTGGCTCGCTCGCTCGCCCGCCCTCCTGGGGCGGCAGGGAGGATTGCTGCTGGGCTCGGGGAGAGGCGGCCCCCCACCCGGCCGGCGGCTTCGGGGGCGCCCTGGGCTGTCCTCGGCACCCCGTGCCACGCCCAGCGCCGCGGGAGGCTGCAGCCCGGGCCTGTCCCCAGTCCGGCGCTGCCTCCCCGGGACCGACAGCAGCCCCAGCACCCACCGGCCGGCCTCGCCGCCCCGAGGGGCCCATGTGCTGCCCGCAGGTGCACTCGCAGGTCCCCGTTCTGCCCGCCGCCGCCACGGCCCCTCTGGGCTCTGTGAGGTGGCGCCCATTGTGCTGTGCGGCCCCGGGCCTCGCTGAGCGCCCCGCCAGTGGGGGAAGGCGGCCTTTTCGCTCCAATGCCTTGTGTCAGAGCCGACTGGGCAGTTTTTGTTTGTTTCTGTTTTTTTTTTTGTCCTTAGCAGGGCCTCAAAGTACCCAAACCCAAACTCTCAGGAAACCAGAACCCCACAGCTTCCTCTTCACATAACCCCCTTCACCCTGTTCTAAAGATGCAGCCCCCTCCATTAACCTCGGAAAACCGGTTTCACAGGAAAGTGACCTGACGTGTGTCCCTGTCACCATGACACCCGGCAAGTCTGGGCATCGCCCCCAGCATCTGCCCTGTGGTCGGCTGGATGGGAGCCTAGAGCGGCCCAGCTCTTGGACCGGCCTCGTTCGCCTGATCAGCACCTGATGTGTCTGTCTGTCTGTCCGTCTGAAATTAACCAAGCATAGTTTACACTTACGTAGTTTGTCTGTCGTGTTCCTTCCCATACAATTCCTGGTAGCTTTCCTGTCCCTTCTTGCCCACTTGCCCACGTGACTGCTCCTGGTACAAGTCGTGGGGTGTTCCCTGTTCCTTCTCACCCAGTTCTTCGGATGTGTTCCGTTCCTTCTCAACTGATTCTTTATCCTGGTTCCTACTTGTTGCCGTGTTGAAATCGAATTTTGTAGCAGGTATTTTAGTACTCTTATTGTCGCTATCTGTCCACTTCAAACAATTTATGCTTTTTACTATGATCAGTGCTGCAACAGCAGCAGCAGCAAGTGCGACTACAGCTCCTGCCGCTGTTTCTATGAGGGCCATGAAGTCCATATTCGAGGGCAATGTACAGTATTGTTTTGACTCTGCTCTTTCTACATTAAAGAATCACACCTCTCCTCCATTTCACAATTACACGGCTCGTAGCTGTGGCTCGTAGCTGTGGGTCGAGGCCCCAGCAGCAGGTGGGCATGGTGGAGGGGCTCCCAGCAGGCAGTGCGCAAGCACAAAGGGGATTGGCTACCAGCTCCCGACGACCCCGCCCCCAGCCCCACGCACACTGGTGGTGGCTCTGACCCTCCCGTTTCAGTTGCCTCTGCCGCCATCATCCTCTTGGGCTCCACCACTGTAGATTTATTCTGGACAGAATATCCTGAAACTCTCCTAGGGCCGTGTATTTATTCATGCTTTCTATCTGTAAAACTAGGGGGTGTGAGAATGACTTTTCTAAAATACCTGTTTAAGAAGACAGGGTCAGGAGCAAGGGATCCTCACATTCTTTACAATTACTCAGGAAATGAGTGTACCTAGTGGCTAAAAGCACGACAGGCTTTGGAGTCACACAGACTGGGTTTGTAGTCCCAGGCTCACCTAACGTACTAGCAGTGGGACCTTACACTACTTTACAAACAGCATGGTAGTTTGAAGAATCAGAACTTGATATTCCTGCAATGCCTAGGTCAGATACGATGTGCGGTTGAAGTTGAGCTAGATCATGAAGGCTAATGTATGCCATAAGAAGTCTTTATGAAAGGACAGATAAAGTTCGTCTCAGATAAGATCAAATTCAAGGAGTTCATCATCATCAAGCCCTTATTATATGAAATGTTAAAGGGACTTACCTAAGAAAAAGATAAAAAAGATGAACAGTGAAAGGACAGCAAACTCACAGTTATTAACAACCACACCTAAAACAAAAGCAAACTAAAAAGACAGCTAGATCAGGAGCGGAAACATAGAAATGAAGATCTATGGAGGGTTAGCAATAGGGGAGTGGGAGGAGGAGAAGGGGGGAGAAGGTACAGAAAATAAGTAGCATAGACGGTAGGCAGAAAATAGGGGGGCAAGAATAGTATGGGAAATATAGAATCTAAAGAACTTGAGATGCATGGTCATAAACTAAAGGGGGGGAATTGTGAGGGCAGGGGGGGTGCAAGGTGGAGGGGAATGAAGGGGGGGAATAGAACAACTCTAATGGCATAATCAATAAAAATTTTAAAAAAAAGTCTTTATCCTGTAAGCAAGTTTACCTTTTCAAGAATGAGGACCCTTTTTTAAAATAAAAAAAAATTCTTTCATTTACTGAATGTCTACATACTACTAAGTTCAAGAACACGTCATATACCTGTATTTTATTAATCCCCAAAGTCTGTACTCAAATAAAAACACTACATATGCATAAAATTTTAAAATCCAATTTTTAATCTTAGTGGGCATATCAACTTGTAAATTACTTGTAAAAACTTCTCCCCAATATCCCCCAACTCCCCCCACTATAGATGACCTACAATTCAGGATGTACTGCTATATTAGAAACATTGAAATGGATGGAAACTGATGTGATCAGATTGGAGTTTACATAATATTTTGATAGGGTTAAGAATGGGTAAGAGTGAGACTGAATAGAAAGGGCCACATAGGAGACTGGCACTCTCCTAGTTGTCTTTCAAAATCTGTTATTTTGTCTTGTACATGTGGCTGCTCAACTACACACTGAATTTCCAACCTTCCAGAATGGCCATTAACTAAAATCTTACCCACACGTATATGTGACATGTGCAACTTCCACCTCACCTGGTCAAAACCCCTTCCACCTGCCCTGCTTGTTTTTTCTTTCCTTGCAAATGTAGATTAGCCAGATACCCAGCTTTAACTATGCAGATACTACAATCTCTAGTGTGTGGCTCTTCCCTCAGGTCCTCAGATCCCCATGGAATACACAAATAAATTTGAGGAGGGATGATCTTAAATTAACCTTTAACTAAAATTTAACATTCAATTATGAATGTAGGTACAAATCACATTAGTATTAGCAGTACGTGATTTTTCTAACCAATAAAAATCATGTATTTTCAGAGGGACTTCCGCCAAGATGGAGGCGTAGGTGGAAGCACTCCGCCTTCTCACACAACCAAATTTAAAAACAACAAAGTTTTAGCAACAGAAACGCAGCCAAACCACAGAAAATTGAACTACACGGAAGTTTGACAACAACAAACCCTTCAGCCAAACCGGTAAGAGGGGCAGAGCCAGCAGCAGAGCGGGGTCGGGCAAGAAAGGTCCACCAGACTGACCCAGGCATGCAACCCAGGCGCACCGGCAGCCGTAGGCGGATCCCAGGTATGGAGTAGCGGGCGGCCCCACTGAGGGCGCAAGGCAGTGGACTCACTGAGGGCTGAACACAGTCACACATTCGAGTGCAAATAAACTGGTGAAGGAGGGAAGCGGTGAGACAGACCGTGCAGCAGGCCCCAGTGGCAGAAAGTGGCAGAAGGGACCACCATTCTCCCTCTCTGACCCCGCCCCCACATACAGCATCACAAACCATCCATCTGGGTGGCCCCACCCTGGTGAACACCTCCTCATACGTAACAGGCATGAACAGATCAAAACATGGCTTAAGAACAACTCAGAGCCCCAGAGCCAATAAATCTAAGTGATGAAGAACTAGCCAAACTTTCAGATGCACAGTTCAAAACACTGGTGATCAGGATGCTCACAGAACTGGTTGATTTTAGTCACAAATTAGAGGAACAAGTAAAGGCTAAACTAATGGAAATGAAGGGAAATGCACAGGAAACCAATAGTAATGGAAAGGAAACTGGGACTCAAATAAAGGAGTGGACCAGAAAGAGGAAAACAATGACCAAACAGAAAAGGATGAAGAAAACAAGAATTCAAAAAATGAGAAGAGGTTTGGGAAACTCCAGGACATCTTTAAACATTCCAACATCTTAATTATAGGGGTACCAGAAGAGGAAGATGAACAGCCACGAGTGGAAAACTTATTTGAACAAATAATAAAGGAGAATTTCCTCAATCTGGCAAAGGCACCAGACTTCCAGGAAATCCAGGAAGCTCAGAGAGTCCCAAAGAAGTTGGACCCAAGAAGGAACACACCAGGGCATATCATCATTACATTAGCCAAGATTAAAACGAAAGAGAGAATTCTAGAAGCAGCAAGAGATAAGGGGACAGTCACCTACAAAGGAGTTCCCATCAGACTGTCAGCGAATTTCTCAAAAGAGACCTTACAGGCAAGAATGGGCTGGAAAGAGGTATTCCAAGTCATGAAATCCAAAGACCTACATCCAAGATTGCTCTATCCAGCAAAGCTTTCATTTAGAATGGAAGGGCAGATACAGTGCTTCTCAGATAAGATCAAATTCAAGAAGTTCATCATCACCAAGCCCTTATTATATGAAATGTTAAAGGGACTTACCTAAGAAAAAAAAAGATAAAAAAGATGAACGGTGAAAGGACAGCAAACTCACAGTTACTAAGAACCACACCTAAAACAAAAACAAACTAAGAGGACAGCTAGGTCAGGAGGGAAACCATAGAAATGAAGATCTCAAGGAGGGTTAGCAACAGAGGAGTGGGAGGAGAAGGGGGGAGAAGGTACAGAAAATAAGTAGCATAGATGGTAGGTAGAAAATAGGAGGAGGGCAAGAATAGTATGTATGGGAAATACAGAATCTAAAGAACTTGAGATATG